ATAATAAAAAAAAAAGAAACACTTTGGAGACAGAGACAGATGAGCGGGGTGGGGGATGGGGGGTTCAGGGGTGGACTTCCCCTTGCTGAGCCTGCTGTTCTGTCTGTGAAATGGGTACACATCACCTGCCCACCTTACCAGCTGGAGTCTACTAGGTCCTCTTGGGTGGGGACAGAGAGAGTCTGCTCAGAGCCGTCAGCTCGTGGGACATGACTGCCTTACAGGAGCCTCTGCAGCCTGCCCACTCCACTCCCCACATCTGGCCAACAGCTTGACCTGTATCTCCGGTTGCTCCAGCAAGAACCAGCGCAGAGGGTACTTGTGGGCTCGCATCATGTCCACCGGTACGGTGAACTGCTCATCCAGGTGGAAGGTGTCTGTTCGCGTAAGGCTTGGGTCAAACTTGCTCCTCCAGAAACCTGCATCCAGGAGAAGGGCAGAGGCCATGAGGGCTGGGATTGGGGTGGGCTCCCCCCGACCACCTTCTTCCTAACCCATGCAAAACCTTTCCAAAAATAAGAATTAGAAACCAGGACTGCGTGGTGGAAGAACCCAGTATTCTGTAGGATCCTCCCTGCAACATTTTCAGATCTGGGCTGTGCCTTCCCCAGCCCTCCAGCTCCCCTGGGTCTATACAGGATGCCCACCTACCACCCAGTGCCTTGGCCCCTCCTCCTTCCCATAACCCAGAGTCCTCACCCCACCCCTTGACTCACAGCCCAGCCCTGAAGAGGAAAAGGGACCCTTGAAACAACCAAGGCCAGTTCAGCCTCCAGGCAAGACAAGAAAAAACCAAAGATGGGGGCTTTGTGATGGGCGCTTGAGAAGGGGAAGGCCGCACCCTGGAAATGGATGGCATTGAGGAGCAGCAACACTGTGTTTTCAGGCAGCTCCGAGAGGAAGTTCTCGATCTTCCCCTCAGTGGCATCCTTCACCCACTGGTTGATATTGGCCAAGTCATCTTCCTGTCTTCCTGTCAGGCTCATGGACTTTGCACCGAAGACCTGTTCTGATTGTTCCAGGAAGTCTTCTCTGATGGGAAATCCTACCAGAAGAGGCAGCAAGCTGTGCCCAGGGCTCAGAGCCTACTGGGTGGAGGTCACCTAAAGCTAGGCTCACCCCCAGGGAGATCCCTGCCCTCAGCACCAACCTTTCTGCAGGTACATTCTGGCAGCCAGTCGGAACGCCCCAGGCCCCAGGTCCTTGCAGAGGCGGCTGAGCAAGTGAGGGAGGCAGGACTCGGAGTCTGCGTGCAGTGCCTGCTGCAACCTCTTTAACGTCTGGTTCTGAGCACCTGAACGGGACCAAACGGGCTGTGGTCCAAGCTGTGGATGGGTTCTTTCCCACTCCCATGGCTCCTCAGGCCTTGGTTATCCACAGTCCCTCCTTGGATACCCACAGTGAGCACACCCACAAGGCTACCAACTCTCCTCCCAAATCAAGTGCCAGGACTCAGGAGTTCTGTCATCTCCACTGTGACAGGCAAAGAACCTTACTCCTGCAATTGCCTTCTCTCTCCTCTTTTCCCACAGTGAGACCCTCCAGTCCAGTGAGACATGTCAGAGCTATGAAATGCTTCCATAAAAATCACCAAGGGCCCAGCAACAATAGCAAAGTTCAACAGAACAGCAAACAATAAATGCTGGCAAGGTTGTGAAGATTGGAAGCTTTATTCACTGCTTGTGGGAAGGTAACTATGGAAGACAGTTTAGTGCTTTCTCAAAAAGTTGGAAATATAAATACCATTTGACCCAGCAATGCCACTACTGGGAATATACCCTAAAGGAACCAGAACTGCAACCCAAGCAGATACATGCCACACCATGTTTATTGCTGCATTATTTATAGTAGCAAAGAGATGGAAGCAACCCAAGTGCCCACCAACAAACAAATGGATAGAAAAACTTTGGCATATTCATACAGTGGAATACTATGCAGCCCTGAAAAACAACTCATAAAACATTACACAATATGGATGAACCTGGAGGACATCATGCTGAGTGAAATATTTCAGTCACAAAAGGACAAATACTGCATAGCACCATTGTTATAAAGCCGGTCTGTCATGAGGGATTGGGAGGAGAATAGGTTAAAAGTGGATAGATAATGAATGTTACACTGGAACAGATGAAGAAAAGAACCATTTAAAAGGAATATATGATTAGGCATTATATGTATAATAGCCCAGAATAACAGGTATGTTGCAAAGAGAACTGGGGGTTGGGGGGAGGTAACTGCAACAATGAAGAAATATTTTAAAAAAGTGAACTGGGGGAGAGAGAAGGGAGAGAATAGAGGTAGAACGTGCAACAGTGAATTAATGAAAATGTATCTTTTCTGTAAACTTTTGTTAAAATCATAAAAGAAAAATTATATTAAAATAAATAAATAAAATGGGAAAGGGTGGGGAAAAAAATCACCAGGGGAATTTGTCAGTAGGCAAATCCCTTCCATGGTTTAATCTGTGGGATTCTGACTCACAAGTGAATCTGCATTGTCATAAAAACCCCAAATCATCTTGAGAAAGGAGCCACCCATTGCTGAACTCTAGAGGACTGAAGTCCTACTGTGCTTTTTTTGGATGGCTGCTGTCATGGTACCTAGTGCCAGGTGTGATAGTGCCAGGGCCACGCTCAAGGGTGACAGGACGAGGTTAGGGCTGGTGGACGTTTTGGCCACCAGTGAGAACAGGTCCGTAGTGAAAGCCATCATTGCCTGTGCCAGCCTGCGGGTCTGCTCTGGGGTCAAGTCCCCCTGACAGTCTTCTGGGGCTCTTTTCAAGGTAACCTTCCCACCAAATTCCTGGAGGGAAGCCAAAGAGTCAGTGGTTAGCCTTGGTGTTGAAGGTCTCACTCATAGCCCTGGTGCCCAAAGATGGCAGGACCTTGTCCCAGCTTTAAGGGAATAGTGAGAGACATGTGATGGACAGTGGCACTCGGGACCTTGTCTCTCTGTTTGGTCCTGCCAACCCTCTCCCCTCCACCCTCCATACTCCAATACCTCAGCCCCAAGGCCATGCCTCTGCTGATTGGTCCTCCTTCCCCTAATCCCACCCATTCTTCCCAGCCCCACCTAACTGTACCTGGTTTCTCAACTTGAGGGGAAACAGGGGCAGCTTCTCCTGGCCCTGCCCATTCAAGAGCTGCAGAGAGGAAGGAGCAGATGGAGCATGGCTTTCCTATGGCCTCCCACCCTGAATGGGGTCACAGGTGAGACCCAACTCCTCCTGGGACCTCCCTCTCTCTCACATGACCCACAAACCCCAGTACCTTTTGATCCAAGGGGCCCATGGCACCCACTGGAGAGAACTAGAGAGACAGAGATGAGGATGGGAGGGTGGTCCCCACCAAACAATGACTCAACCCCAGGTCCTCCTTGCCCCCCCCAAACTGGTCTACCTGCCCCCAGCCCTTCTCAGCTGGGAACCAAGGGTTCTCAGCCTCTCCTTCAACTTGACCAACCCTTGTCCCACAAAACCCTGGCCCTTTCTCACCACCAAGGAGGGGCTTTGCAGGCAGGACAAGCTGAGTACCAGGAGCCCCCGGAGCAGCGCCATGTTCCTGTGTTGGGGACAGGAAGCCTCAGCTCCTATTTCACATCTCCATGCCCAGCCTTCCGAGTCCCACGTACCACAATCATGCTCACAGACACAGCCAACCCGAGCTCGGTGCACCCACCCAGAACACATTAGTGGTGTTCCCAGCTTTGAGAGACTGAGAGTTCTCCAGGGATCCATTTTTTTCCCCCGTTTGTTCTCATTTCCAATGTAGAATGTTTTGGTTAATAGAGGGAAAATATTAAAAACAGTAAAAGCTCTTTTTCTTTAAGGCCTCATGTTGTCAGACTTGCCTCCTGCCAGGGGGCCCTAAGTATCCCCCGGCGTTCCTCTCAGTTTTCACCTTAATTTGGAAAAAAGCAGCAAAACCCCATACTTCCTCCCATGTGTTATGAAGACCAAAGGCAGGCTGTCTGTGCAACACTGAGTACAATGCCCAGCACTCCGTTCAGTAGTTTTCTGCCTCACTAAGCTAGATGGCTGTGATGTGCCATCAAGTTGGAAGCAACTCTTAGCTCACCCTCCAGCGGGTTTTCAGAGGCGATAAATTATACAGGAGGAGACTGCCCATCCTTCTTCTGCAGAACAGTTGGCAGATTTAAAACTCTTGCCTTTTGGATTGCAGTGCAGCTTCTTACCATTAGGCCACCAGAGCTCCCAACTGAGCTAAGTACTCCCGTCCATGTGGCCAGCCTTTCTCACAGGTGGACAGGTGTGTAGCCCTGAGGTCCTCAGAACATCAGGGGGTGCTGGGGGTGGATCCCAGAGCTGCCCTGTTGACCCCTGTGCAGTCCAGTGAATGATTCCAGCCAGAGCCACCCTTGGACTTATCCCTGGCCTGCCCCACCAGCTCTGGGAGGCCAGGCCACTAAATAGTTGTAGGATGAGGAGGACAAATAATATCTGGGGGCCTCAGAGCAGAGTTGCCACCAATCCCAGGGCCAGGCCACTGAGGGGGCCTTTCTGTCACCCGTGGCCCCACTCCTACAGGCAGAGTCTTTGGCCAGGGTCCTGAGCTCCAGCCCTAGCTCCTGTATGTTCTTCACAAAGAAAAAAAAATCTTCAAGTCTCAAGAGTACAACTCCAAGCCTCTGGTCTTACTCAGTCACCCCTAAAGAAGGCGGCTTCTCACCACCCCAGGAGATCGAGAATCTACAGGTCCTCTGTGCAAACTCAGCCTTTGCAGCACACACCAGCTCCTAGCGCCACCTGTCCTGGGGAGTAACCAGGGCCACCCCCACCTCATACCTCGGCAGGCTCCTTGCTGCGGCTTGGGTGTTCCTCTGGCCCAGCTTTGGTGTCTCCCACGCTCTGCCCAGCTCCAACCAGCCCCGGAGAGCCCTCCCTCCCACCAGGACCTTTGCTCTGAGCCAACCCCTTTCCAGATTGTTTTCTCTTCTGGTAAATATTGACAGGCGCATCCGGTTAAACATTGATATGGGGGGCCAAAAGCCCCCTTTCTACCCAGGCCCCTAATCCTGAGGCAGACCCCAGAAGCCCGCAGGTTTGGGTCTGAACCGAACCTGGAGGAAGGAGGTGCAGGAGACAATAGGGGAAGCTGGGCCTGGGCCCTACACGGGGCTGTGCCAGCCAGGCGCAGAAGCTACATTACCTGCCCAAGGTCAGAACTGGGTTCAGGGTCACATCTAGCTACATGCTTCCAAGGTCCTCTCCTCTCCCCCAAGTCTGCCTTCCTGACTCCAGGAGAGGAAAAGGGAGGTTGCAGGAGCCCAGGAGAGAATGCCCACCCCTGACCCCTAAAACACAGGATCCTAGTTGGCTGTCTGAATCCTGGGTGGGGAGAGGCAGCTTTAGTAGCATCCTATCTCTTTGGGAGTGAGCTCTGGTCGTAACGAGTTGCACTACCAACCCAAAAGCAGGAAGTTCAAATCTACCAGCTGCACTGTGGGAGAAAGATGGGCAATCTCCTCCCATGTGATCTGCAGCCTCTGAAAATCTGCTTAAGGGTCAGTTATGAGTCAGTTTTTGCTCGAAGGCACATCACCACCTCCACCTCACTGGGAGCAATGAGGGTTCTGGAAGCTGCACTGGGGCTGCAAGAACCAACACCCACAGCCCAAGCCATCCAAAGAGTCGTGGTCAGGTCACTGTGTCCCCTCTAGCCTTCTCCACTGACCCGGAAATTGTGAAGCCTCAACTGGGCCTATCCAGGCACCAAGAACAGCCTCACTCGTTCCATGGCTCTTCTAAAGGATTTATTGTTCCTATTTACATCTATTGCAAATAGTGAAGAGGCAGCGGGGGCCAAGCCTCAGACTTCATCTTGGCTCCAGTGAGAAGACCACGGGGGGGCCTTGGTCCTCCGTCCCCTGGGAGAGACCTGAGATGCAGGGTGACTCCTCCTGCCCCTTCTCTCCAGGTTCCTCAGGGTACAGGGACCCTGCACCCCTTCAGAGAGGTCCTGGGCCTCAGTGCTGCCTCCTCAGCTCAAGGCACAAACACTGTGGGTGGAGGTGGGCAGGCAAGGCATGGGGTCATGCCTGGCAGGCACCAGCTAGCCTAGCCCATCTCCCCTCCCCTGGTGTGGACGCTTACCCCTAGACCAAGGCCCTGAACTCTTGGGCCAAGGCCAGCCCCCCCCCCCAGAGGCTGGAGTCCAAGCACCTCAGTGTGCTGAAGCTGGGCAGCATCCCTGTCCTTGCACAGCAAGGACAGAGAGCATCCACCAAGGGTGGCCTTGGCTGCAGACCAGCTGGGAAAGGCCGGCTTCCCTTTCCCAGCTTCCCTTCCCCTTCCCGGAGCTCAGCTCCATGTGGACCCAGAGGGCAAAACCAGGAGAACAAAGACTCTTAAGTCCAAGAGAAAGGATGCTGTCCCTCTTACTGTCCCCTTCCACCTGGGGCAGCATTTCCCAAGCCATGGATACTTGTGAAAACCTTCTGACAGTCAGCCTGGGTGGCTTCTGAGGGTTCAGAAACCCGAGCACAGCCCACCTGGAGGCCCCAGATGGAAGGCCACACAGGGACAGGGGTCTCAGGCCTGCTCTGCAGGGAACAGAGAGGACACTGAGGGTGGGGGGATGGGCTCCAAGGGGTGTAGCCAGCTCCATGCTGCTGCTCAGCTTATGCCAGCAGGCGGATAACCCCATTGTCCGAGCCCAGCAAGAGGTGGCGCTTGGTGGGCAGCAAGGCCAGGCTGGTCAGGGTGCCTCGGAAGTTCTCGGAGCTGAGTTTGGTGGTGGCCTGAGAGGGAGGCTCAAGCAGGGAGCAGACACCGATCTTGTTGGCCACTGTGCCAGTGACCACCTCGCTGCCGTACAGGTCAAAGGTGTGGATGGGGTCGGATGCCGACTTGTAGTGATGCGTGGGCTTCTGCTCCAGCTCCTTCCAGACGGTCAGGGAATGGTCAGAGGAGGAGCTGACCAGGATGCTGCCTTCAACCGCCTACCCAGAGAGAGAACAGCTTCAGTGCAGGCTGAACCTACAGAGTCCCGGTATTTTTCCCAAGCCCTCCTACAGCATCTGACCAGGAAGATGGCCTCCTGAGTGGATGGATACACGAGGTTGTTACTATCCTAATCATCACTATAGTTTGAGACATTCCTACAGGTTACATAGACATTTCATCTTCACATTACACATTTCATCTTCAGGACTACTTGGTGAGATAAATACTGTTGTCCTCATTTTATTGAGAGGAAAAATTGAGGCTTACACAGGCTTTAAGAGGCTAAAAATTCAGCCCAACTTTACACAGTCAGTAAATGGCAAAATCAGCTGACCCAAATCCTCCTGGCCTTTTCTTAGAAAGTCTTAATTTAAAAGGCACTTGGAGACCAGGGCCCTGTGGCCCTGAAAGAAGCCGGGGCAGCCTGCCCTCAACACTGGTAGTACATGTCCCTGTCCTCCATCCAGGACCAGGAGGAGTCTCAATTTCTAAAATAAAAAGGTCCTCCCACAGGTCGCCTTGTGCCCTCCCTGGGGCCTGTGGTTGAGAGTTATAAGTGGAGGAGAAGGGGGGCAGGATTTCCTGCACAGGCCTGTCCTTGCCCACTCAGGGTTAGTGCAGCGAAGGGCATGAGTCCTTCTCAGAGGGCTAGGGAGCAGTAAACAGCCTCTGAACTGAGCTTTATTTAATCTGAACTAGGTCACGGACAGGGCCCGACCCCTGATCCTCCAAGCAAGACAAATATGGACAAGAGTTACTCATTAGAACATCTCCAGGAGGCACTGGGGTCAGTTCTGCCCCCTTGCTCCCGCCCCCACAGTCTGTTTCCTGCCCAGGCTGCTGTGGTACAGTTAGCACCTGAGCTGGCCCAGAAGGGCCACCCTCCCTGTCCACTTGTCCTTGGACAGGTGTCAGAAGAGGCCCTCGCTGGAACGTGAGCTGCAGCCCAGCTAGGCTGCGAGGAAGAGGGGCATGAGGAGCTTCACCTTGATCTGCAGGATGTCCCCCTCATGGGCTGGCCAGCCCCGCAGAACCAGGCCCGTGCGGGTGTCCAGGAGCACCATGAAGCCCGAAGAGAAGCCAGCCACGACGCTGCGGCCGCTGGGGCTGACGGCCAGGGAGCGGACAAGGCCCGGATTTAGCCCACCACCCAGGCGGAACTCATGCTGCAGGCAAAGGAGACCAAGTTAGAGGCAACTCCTGCCCACCCACTTCTCCCTACCGGTGCTACCCACCACCCGATCACACAAAGCAGGCGGGCGGAGCCTCTGCCCCCTGCCAAGGGCAGTGAAAAATCCAGTATCCTTCCCCTGCCTCCATTCCCCTAGCCTCACAGGCCAGAGTTACAGACCAGGATTTCCTGCCATGGGTGATCTGTCTCCACAGGGACACACAGGGCGTCCATGGGCTGTCTCTCTTCATGGGTCCCCCTCCCTGCCAGGTCCTGGGAAGATGGCTGCCCCTGCTGACCTGCAGGCCAGGCTTCCTGCAGTCCACAAAGCGCAGGGTAGAGTCGGAGCTGGCCATGGTGATACTGGTGTGTGGGGCAGGCATGACGGCCACGGCGGTCAGCGGCACCCGACTGTCTGACGGCTCCACTGTGCGAAGGGGCTTCCCTGGGAGCAAGCAGGCAAGGCAGTGGATCTGGGACCCTGGCCCCTTACTCCCATTCGGTGCCCCGGTCTCCTCCAGACCTCCCTCCCCAGGCTCCCCAGGCCCATCAGAAAAGCCCTGGAGATGTTTCTTTACTCTTCTTCCTGCTTTCATGGCAGTGCCATGCCCTTGTCCCCAGAAGAACCTCATCTTCACACAGCACCCCCAACAAATGTCACCTCCAGGCCACTCCCACACTAATCTATCCTTCTCACCTTTTCAACCATGTTTCTCCCTCCAAGGCCAAAGAATAAGCAACAGCTTTCCAAACAAACACTACAAGGTATACATTAAACTAAACTCCTACATGTGTTATCCTCTGAACTGAGTCTCGTAAGACAGAGGGATAAGTTACAATCAGGGAACTCTCGTGGTCTAGTGGTAAGGAGCTGTGTTGCCTACTCAAAGGTACATGGTTTGAGTGCACCAGCTGCTCTGTGGGAGGAAGACAGGCAATCTCCTCCTTTTTGATTTACTGCCTCTGAAAACCTACTGGACGGTCAGCTATGAGTCAATTCTGACTTGACAGCACATAATAACAAGAAAGTAACTTCCTCAAGGCAAGTTATCAAGAAAGTTGCTGCAGCCAATTCAAACTCAAATAACTAATAAGTCTGCTCTCAAGGGAGCTTTGGTGGCCAAGGAGCTGAGCTACCAATCCAAAGACGCATGGTCTGAAACCACCAGAAAGATGAGCAATCTCCTCCTCTGTGATTCACTGCCTCTGAAAATCTGCTGGGGGATCAGGTATGAGTCAGTTCCAACTTAGCAGCAATGACAACACAGCTCCTCTATGTGGTCTCTACAAACACAAAGAACATTATGACCCAACTCTCCCACCCTCAGGCCCTATACCCGGGCCTACGGGGGCACCACAGGAAGGCAGCAGCAGAACAGGCCTCACCTGGGCCAGCTCACCTGTGAAGGGGTCCCAGATGTGCACGGCCCCGTCACAGCTCACCACGTACTGTGGGGCCTCAAGCTGGCCCACGTAGAAGACACTCTTGCGGTGCTGGGCATAGACCAGGCGTGGGGCTGTTTCGCTGGTCCCGTCCCCGTAGTTGTAGAGTGGCCAGAGGCGCACTGTCCGGTCCTTGCTGCCACTCAGGAAGAAGTCCTCACTGCTCAAGGGCGCCACACACTTGACAGCCCCCGAGTGGCCAGGGAAGCTCTGCAGGCGGATCTGGTGGAAGTGGAAGTGGGCGTCCTGCTGGCTCACGCCAATCTCGTACTGCCAGTACGCCAGCCAGTTCCCGCTCAGCCCGTGTACGCTGCGTGGCAACTCCCGCTTCAGGGCGTGGTCCTCACTGCCTCCACTCAGGCCCCTGCCACCCACCCCCGGGATGGAGCCCAGCAGGCCAGGGCTCTCAAGCTGAGAGTCTGTGGGGATCTGGATTCGATTCCCAATCAGGACACTCCCAAAGGTCCCTGAGTGACCATCATCCTGAAGACTACCCCCGCAATGGGGGTCCCAATCAGGGCCAGAGGTGGGCACGGCAGGCTCCACGCTGGCAGGGCTCTGAGTGCTGGGGCTGATGCTCTCCAAATACAGTCCCGCCAGCTCCCCAACTAGCTCGTGGTTGGGAACGATCTTCCGGATGATGTCACCTACAAGGGAGCAACAGAGGCCCTACAATCAGGGAAGTCTGCAGGGAGCCGCCGCCACCCACCCAAGGGCTTGGGAACCACAGGAGGCTGGGCAGCTAGGGGCTATCACTGACCAAGTGACTCTTCATCTCTGAGCCTCCCTAGTAAACGCAGAGCTGTTCACTCAGCACAAATGAAGACAGAAGTGTCTACCAAATGCACTGGGTATCATGTTAGGACCAGAAAAAGAACAGCAAACAGGACAGCTGGTTCTCTACCCTCACAGAGCTTACATCTCAACAGAGGAGTGACAGATGTACCTAACTACAGATGACACATGTAAATTCTTGGCATGGACTAGTCTGTATGAATAAAAAGTCTGCTGCTATCTGGTCAGTTTTGCCTTATGGTTACCCCCTGTGTTACAGAGTAGAACTGCTTTATAGGGTTTCTTGGCTGTAATGTTTATGAAAGAGATTGCCAGGCCTTTCTCCGCAGTGTTGCCAAGTGGGTTCACTCTTTCAGTTAGCAGTCGAGCACACACCCGTTGTACCACTCAGGTACTTTGGTCCATACAGGCACTCTGCAAAAGGCAGCTATTACTCTCAGGATGATGTTTCTTCTCAGAAATGAGACTTCTGAGGCTGTCACAGGTCCACTAACTCCTCTTTCCCTCTCCAACTGCTAAGGAGACAGAATATCACAGGCTTTATCTTTCTAACTAAAGCTCAGTCTCTTTTTACGTATCTCGTTGGGAGTCAGTGTGCGAGATGAACTCTTTTTAGCTCTGATCCAGAAATATTGTACATAGTACCCACTGTTGTTTCTGGGGGCAGGGGAAGCATGGAGGTTCCCCCAGGAAGAAAAGTCATGAAGTCTGTCTATGGGATTCCCCCAGAGAGTATAGTCATGAAGTCTGTCTACAGGGGCCCCCTAGGGGACAGGAGTCACGAAGTCAGTCTATGAGGCCCACCCAGGGGAGGGACATAGCCATGACGTCTGTCCAGTGAGCACAGCATGGCAGTACCCAGAAGGCAGGAGAAAGGCACATAGATTGTGTACGCCATTTCCAAGGTGAACACCTTCTGCAGCTCATCCAGCAGGCCGGGGTCCACTGGCCGCTGCTGCCCATCAGAGAAGGCCACTTCTGGCAGCTGGCCCTCACCACGACCCGTAGGATCCAGCTTCAGATCCTGGTGGCAAGAAGCCCGGGGAGTTATTTGTATGTCCTGTGTCCACTCCAGCCCACCCTAGCCAGGCAAGCAGGTCAACCCACCTGATGCTGAAGCTCATGCAGCTGGGAGAAGACTTGAAAGAAGGTGGCCACGGGCTCGCTCAGGTGCTGCTGGACCATCTCCTGCCCAATGCGCAGGCAGATCAGGGCAATGAGGCTGATGGTCTTCACACACAAAACAGTCCGGGCCTGCGCACCACTTGGGAACCTGGAAAGTTAAGCTCATGAGCCCAGTGCCCATCTCTGCAGGACTGACCCAGCAGCTCCTATGAGCTTTTCAAGACCAACTGGTCTAAACTACATGAGGAAAACAAGGCAGGGAAAAAAGGGGTGGCTTGTTCTGGGTCACAGAGTTAGAATCAGAGCCTGGAATACCTTGCACCCAAAAAAAACTAAACCATGCCCCAGGCCCTCATGTTCATTACAATTTACAAGAAACCCACATGTCAAGAATAGAACTGAGCTCCACAAGGTTTTCTTGGCTGCCATTAGGAAAACAGACTGCCAAACCTTTCTTCCACAGCACCTCTTAGGTGTGTATTCAAACTGTCAAACTTCCAGCGAGCAGCTAAGTGGGAAGTGTTCATGGTACTCAGGGGCTCTCCTGACACCCATCCGGCAGCACTTCCTCTCCCTCAAGCTTCCCAGCCCCGCCTCGGGCTCCCTTGGCTGGCTGCTCCCAGCACAGAGGGACTGGGCAGAAGCTCACCCCGTGACGAGGGAAGTAAGGAAGCTGAGCACAGGCAGCAGGATCTCATGGCTGATACGGGGCAGGATGTCCATCAGGGTGGTGTCCGAGAGGTACACAATAATCTTCTGGGTCAGCGTCACCGCTGCCAGCAGCCCGGCTTCCTTGCGGCTATTCAGTCGGCTGGGGCCTGAAGTGCTGCTAGGGGCCACCTAGGGCCACAGAGCACATGAGGGCAAGGCGGCCTCCAAGATCCCCCTTCATCCCCCAGAGCAGCTATTGGATCCTTCAGCCTCCCCTCCTGGGCCTGTCTGATCCCCTTCATCCCCTGGAGACTCAGAGCAGCCATTGGTTTCCTCAGCCTCCCTTCCCCAATCCCCCTCATCCCTGAGGGACCACAGGGCAGCCGTCAGATTCCTCGGCCTCCCCTCCCCAGGTATGATCCCGTTCATCCCTCAGGGACCACAGGGCAGCCGTCAGATTCCTCGGCCTCCCCTCCCCAGGTATGATCCCGTTCATCCCTCAGGGACCACAGGGCAGCCGTCAGATTCCTCGGCCTCCCCTCCCCAGGTATGATCCCGTTCATCCCTCAGGGACCACAGGGCAGCCTTCAGATTCCTCGGCCTCCCCTCCCTGGGTCTGCCTGATCAATGACTGACCAGGTAGCTGATGTAGGGCAGGTACTGGTAGGTGAGAACAGGCTCCCCGTACAGGTGGGCGATGTGGAGGAGGCAGCTGAGCACAGGGGCAGACACGACATCACCCAGCACTGGCCTCTTCTGATAGATGTTGCCAGCACTCAGTGGAGGACTCTCGCCACTGCTCACCGTAAACTGCTGCCTAGTGGGCCCTGCCAAGGGGGAACCAATAGCCTTGAGTAGCTGGCGGAGAGCGAGAGAGGCCCGCCTTGTGGGGACAGAGGTGACTGCTCATACAAACTACAACTTCAGGTCTGCTCATGCCCCGCTTAGAGAAGGAAGGAGCCCAGGACCTGGAAGGAAGGACCTCTAAAGATGGTGGAGGATGGGTGGAGGACATGGGAGGAAGCCCGCTCCAACACAGACCACAGTCCTTACCAACGTAACAAGAAGTCAACAGGCGGAGCAGGTTCCGGGCCACGTGGCGGGAGGCCACGGTTGGGCCGAGCTTGGCGGACAGCCAGCGGACCATCTTGCAGGCTGTGTCTGCAGGGCAGGAGCAGACCCTGAACTCATCAGACAGCAGTGGCTTGTCACTGTTCCCACCCAGCCTCTCTGGCTGCAACAACTTCACTCGTCACGCCACACGACCACCACCTCCACTTCCCAGGCCCTTTGAGACCCTAGGTTCGAAGCTGCTTCAGCTTCTGTCCACAGGTACAACTTGCAGTAGGGTTACCCTTTCAGAGAAGCAGCCTTGAATTGTTTAATGAGACCTGTAGAGGTCCTGGTTACTGCTTCTTGTGGCCTCTTCTCCCTCCTCTCTCCCCTCTGCTGTCATGTCCACCCACGTTGGCCTTTTACTGATGGAACCAGGACAGCCTACCTGTCTTGTATATGCTGAAAAACCTGGTAAGCTCCTCCCATTCCCGACCTTGCCATTTCTACCTGGCAACTTGTTACTTTCAGGAAAGCCTTCTACCACCTGAAGGGAGATACGGTGGCCTAATGGCTAGGTTGTACTGTCGAATCAAAAAGAGGCAGTTCAAATCCACCAGCTGATCCACAGACCAAAGATGGGCAATCTCCTCTTGTGAGATTTACAGCCTCTGAAAACCTCTTGGAGAGTCAGCTATGAGTTGGTTCTAACGCGACAGTACCAACTTGTTCTACTGTTGCTGTGTGCCATCACTGATCTACTACTGGGGGAAAAACATCTTGTGCCCTATTTCATAAGCCCTCCAACCAACTCAGATGCCAATCTGCCTGACTCATGGAATTGTGTACGTTACATTCTCTCTGCCAGGTGCAGAGAATTCCGTATTCCTGTTACAGTCTGTGGGTCTAACTCCACAGGAGTAACTCTAAGCAGGTGCTCGGCACAGAGAAGGTGCACAACACATACTGGTGTGTGAGAGGCAGGAGCACTGGGCTAACCCTGCTGGCCCAAGGACTTACCAAGTAGGATCTTCTGTTCTTTGCCCTCGGACTGCTCAGCCAATGGCTCCTCCTCTTCCTCCCCATCTCTCCCGCCGCTGGCCACCACCGTATCCATGGACAGCACCGTGTCGGACAGGGTGAGCTCAGATGCCCCGTTGACCTCGTCCTGCTCCACCCCCTCCTCCTCCAACACCACACAGCCGTCTTCCTCCTCTTCCTCCTCCTCCGAGCCCTCACTCTGTTTCAAGTCCTGACTGCTGTCCCCTGACTGAAGGCTGCTCTTGTCCACAGGGGCCCCTGCCTCATCAGCAGCCTGCTCCTCGCCCAGGGAGGTCTCGCTGGTGCTGCTCTTGTCACTCAGCCGACCCAGGCTCACAGCCTCTGCCTCCTGGGGCTGCGGAGACTCAGCCACATAGAGCCCGGCCTGGAAGTCCTCGGTCTCAGGGAGGTCGGCCTGATCATGGAAGCTGACACCGGATGTGTAGTCTGGCAGCCCAAGGCCCGAGGAGGCAGGCGGCTCACCATCCATCTGAATCTCCTCCTCAAAGGAACAGGCACCTGGCCCAGCCCCCGGCAGCCCCCTCTCCTCATCCTCGGCAGCCCCCGCCAAGCCCTTGCTTTCCTCCTGGGAGGCCTCGGCCCCAGCCAGCACCTGCAGGACATGTGGCAGCAGGTGGACCAGAAAGGCCTGCAGGCCCAGCCGCACCATAAGCTGGGCCACAAAGCAATCTGTGTACAGGTAGAAGCGGCCATGGAGCCAGCAGGGGCTCTCATAGGCCCCTATGAGAGGCTTCAGCAAGTACTTGTTGGCATTTTTGGGGCCTAGGGCCTTGGCAACAGGTTCAAACAGGTACCAGGCCGTGTACACAGCCGTGTGCTCCTCGGACATGAGGGACAGCACAAAAGGCAGCAGGATCTCAAGGCCCTCAGGGGTAATGTCACTCAGCACTGCACCCAGCTGCTGCCACAGGGCAAACACCAGCTCACGCCCCTGGGCCTCGTCCTCCACGCGCCGTGCCTGGTACAGGAGGATGAACTTGTGCAGTGCAGGGAAGTACGGAGGGAAAGGAACAATGGAGCTGAACGGGCTAAGCAACTGGGCCGGGCAGGGTGGGGGCAGTCCCCGGGACACGGGTTGGTACTCAAATAGTGGATCCAGCTGGCTCTTCTCCCCAACTACAGGGCCTTGGGGTCCGCTCAGTTGCAGCAACAAATTCAAAACAGGCTGCAGAGACACAGGGACCTCTTTGAGGTGGCGTGTGCAAAGTCCTCGCACGGCCTCAAAACGTACCCACAAAGGTGCATCAGGCTGCAACGTCCGGACCCTGGTGGCAAAGACCATCTCAGCCAACAGCACCCCGAGTGCCTGCATGTCCCGATGAAAGAGGGCCTGCAGCTGCACAGGCAGCTGGACTTGGAGCTGCTCAGGCATCTCCAGGTGGCCACCCAGGCCTTTGGTCAAGAAATTGCCCAGTTTCTCCAGCTCCTCCAGCGCCTGCATGGGATTGAAGCCTTCTGGGAGAAGGATCTTTCCCTCTTCACTCTCCCCAGGGTCAGTCCCGGCTTTGCTCCTGCGGCCTGCGCGAGAGGATGAGGGAACTGAGAAAGGCAGGAGGCCAGGGGTCACTTGGCTGGAGACGGAACCTGGCTGGTCACTCACTTTCCCCGTGAGGGAGATAGAATCCAGAGCTTCCGTGGCCTGCTCCAAGTCATCCTCCCCCATCGCAGGCCTGTCCCTCGTCCAACCAGCCTCACATGGAGTGGCCTCCAAAACCATCCTTCCCATCCCATTTGTCAGCTGTCCTGGGAAGTCCTCCTGGCCTGTGGTTTCCTGGATGGGCTGGACAAACAGCTTGGGTATGAGGGGAGGTTCAGGGGTAAGGGTAGATGTACCAGCCAGCCGCTGAGGGTGCGGCTGGTCAAAGAGCTGCACTACGCCATAGCTGGTCAGGTGGGTGTGGGCATCTACCAGGTGGAGACACACGTTTTTCTCCTTCACAGCCTCTTTGCCCTGAAGCTTGTAGCCGAAGGTGAGGTCAATCCAGTGATGCAGGTCCTGGGACACCTCTCGGCTCTCCAACAGCGCCCGGTGGGCGGCCACAAACTCCTCGTTAGAGCTGCACCATGCCGGTACATCCAGATCAGGCATGTCCGGGTGGATGGAACAGAAGATAGAGGGGTCAGTGTAGAACTCGGGGATGCACTCATCCGGGGTCCAGTTTTGCATGCGCTCCATGCTGGCGGGGTATTCATGGGGCTCCCACTGTGCCCGGACATGACCGCAGAGCACCGACCGGGGTGTGCGCCGAGCTTTGTACACATAGTAGGTGATGTCGGAGAGCACGTCTGAGATGTGATGGGGCACATGAGGTGGCTCCCCACCGCCTGCACCCCCTGCTACAAACGCCTGCCGTGTCATCTCATACGTAAAGTCCAACTGCTTATCCCCCTTATTGAGGCGGAACTTGGACTTCCGCAGGTCTCGAAAGCGGCCGTGGGGTGTGGTAAAGTCCACCACCCAGGGCAGCACTGGGTGATAGTTAGGATCTCCTTGTCGCCGGCCTGCCAGCCGATTCAGCTGCATGAGGTAGTAGAAGTTGCTGATGCGGCCATGGACCCAGTCTAGGACAAGGTTTCTAAGTTCTTCCTTGCAGACGGGACACCCAGGCCCCGCTCTCTGCTCCTCTACAGGCTTCGTGCCTGTTCCATCCCCTGCTACAGAGGTCTCTTGGCCCTCATCATCCTCTGGCCTCTCATAAGCACCCAAGTCCAATCGGAGCTCACTGCAAAGCTTCTCATCCACAGCGATGTGGTGCAAAGACAGGGCTCCGCAGGCCAGCCCCTGGCGGTGACAGGCATCCATGGCCCGCAGCACACGGAACAGAATGAAAAGCACCTTAGCTTGGCTGTTGGTCAGCTTGGCAGGACTGAAGGTGACCACATCATGCAGGGAGAACTGGACATAAGGATGTACTACATACAGCATCTCTGGTGACTCCAGCAGGGCTTCCGCTCGTAAAAGACTAGGGCAGGTCGGACTACCTCCAGGGGGACATGGTGCCTCTCTGGCATATGATGGGCATTGAGTAGCTTCACCCACTGGCATGAAGGTGCAACCATAGACCTTTTGCAAAGCCTGCCTAACTAAGTCTAGGGCAGGGGCAGCTGAGGGGGCAGGGCTATGGCTATAGGGCCGTCCATAAGTGTGGTATGCATGGCGCCACAAGTTGCGACAATTCTGGGCAACCACATCCTGCATGAAGCGAGTGAGGGTCTCAGAGCAGCAGGACCCCTCCTCAAAGGGCAGATCCCCGCCCAGGGGGTAGGAAAGCCTCCGTTTTCGGAGCCCGTGCACCTCCACGCGCGTCCAGCCCGGGGGCAGCCTCTGCACTGAGCGCTGCAGAAGAGTTCTGATTTCCGTCTCACCCAGGCCCTCGGCCCGGGGGCAGGGTCCCTGGGGTAGCCGGCGCTCTCGGAGGCTGGCCAGCCACCGCACGGGCACTAGGGCCACCACGTGGGAGCCCACGGGGGCCGGGGCCAGCTGCCGTGCGTCTATGTTCAGGTCCCTTTGCACACTCCGGAGGAGGCTCTCCATGTCGGGGCGTGGGGGCGGGGACCAGCCTACAGACCTGGTAGCAGAAGCCACTTCCCGCCCTCTGCTCCCCTGGGCCATCCCCTCCTGGCCGCCTGGGGGCAGCGCGGGGCTGAGCCCAGTCACGGCCCTCCTCTCTACGGCTTCCGGGGTGCCAAGCCGGGCGGAGCGGATGGGAGAGGGAGAAGGGAGGGGGTGAAGACAACTAGAGTGGGCCAGAGGACAGAAGACGGGAGGACGAGGGTCGCTCTTACCCCTCAGAAGATGCTGCACTCCGAGCGCCGCGGGGCTGGGGCTGCAGGGCGCCAGCACCGGGCTCTACCGTGACGGGTCAGCTGACTCAGGTCACGTGATCGCCCCGGCACGGAAACAACCGCACGTGGCTCGAATGAGACGGATCAGGACCCGCCTCCTGCCGGCGCCACTACCGGGCTTGCGCCGGCGCCCAATCTGCCAACCTCTGCTTTTTCCTAACGTTGGCTTGCCTTCCTCCTGGGGCTGGAAGGCGGCCGCGGTGGACTTAAGGGAAGGGAGATGTTCAGCTACTCACGAGGTTCCCCTCCCCTGCTTCGTTCCTTGCGCGCCTGGAAGGGGACGGAGGGAGGGGAGGCTTTTCCCAGAGATCTAAGCCTTGAAAGGGCTGATCCCTACCCTCCGGTTTTGTAGATAAGAAAACTACAGCCCAAAAGAGGGGACAGATTAGCCACTCAGCCGCAACGCTAGAACTTTGACATCAAGTTCCTCAAGTATATTCATGCTACCGGTCCAAAAACAGAGCTTTTAATTTTCTAAAGCATCTCTTTCTTTGCATTCCATCTGGCTCGCATAACATTCTGTGAGCTAGAGAGAACGGTTATTATTGTTTATCTTTTACAGGTGTTGACCAAAAGACGCCAAAGAGGCTTTGCCCAGTTGGCAGAATGGAAGCTGAAAAAGCTTGATGCCCAGACATTCTGGCCTGGGGGCCCTGTCTCCTGACAATTCTTTTTAAAAAGAAGAAGAAAGAAAAGAAAGCTCTCTCTGCGATCTAAAGCAGAGAAGTGGCCACGATTCAGAATCCTGGGGATCATGGGAGGAAATGTTCCCCCAGGCTTCCTGTTGAAGATCTCCTGACTGTGGTGCCACAGAGCCAGCCTATGTGGTCAGAACCTCACAGATGCCATTGTGGCTGGGGAAGGATGGAGCACAGCATAGGGAACAGAAACCAAAGAGTTGGCACCAAAACGACATGATTTTGTTTGTTCGAGTTTGACTCCTAGTTGAAAGCTTTGCCTCATCTAAGTTTCATGGGGGGGGGGGGGAATGTCCCAGAACTAGCAACTAATAAAATTCTAGTGGCTTAGTCTCCAGTCAATTGTGCTGTGAACCAAAAGGCTGCATGTTTCCAGTGGTTCAAATCCACCACTGACTGAGTGAGGCAAGATGGGAATTCTCTTCCCTTTAGAATTTACAGCCTCACAAATCTGATGGAGATTCGCTATAAATTGGAACCAGCTCGATGAAAACAAATTAAGAAAAACTAAAGGCCAGTGTAATTTCGTGACAGAATTTTCATGCAGGAAACCCAGGTTTGATGCTTAGCCAAGGCACCTCATTAAGTAGGCATCTCTAGTATTGAGATGCCACTAGCATATATGTGTCAAGCCACCACAAATAGAGGTTTTCTCTTGCATTGATGCAAAATAAATAAATAAAAATGAAAAGGTGTTTCCAGAGTAAATTGAACTGGGAAGAAAGGTCTGGTCACCTAACCCAATGCAGTCAAGTAAATTTTTATTCAAAGTGACCCTCTAGGACAGAATAGAGCATCCCCAAAAGATTTCTAAGGCTGTAATCTTATGAGAACTGACTGCTACATCTTTCTCCTGTGAAATAATTGGTGGATTCAAACTGCTACCCTCTCAGTAGCTTAATATTTAACCACTGCACCACCAGGGCTTCTTGCCTGACCACCTACAATCTGAAAATCAGCCAGCAGAAACCCTGTGAATCATGACAATCATATCCCCAGCTGATTATGGGGATGGTGCAGGCTGAGGCAATGTTTCATTCCATTGTTACAAGGAGATGGTGGCCCACTTCATAGCAGCAGCTAATACAGAGAGCTGAAAAAAAAATGAAGACGGAACAGTGAACTACATGGAACCAAAAGGGCATTATCTGACCATAAACAAAACTCACAAGGCAGGAAGGGACAGGAAAGAAAGCTATATAGAAATGGAATCTAAGAAAGCAGGGAGGAAATGCTGTCACATTGAGAGGATTTCAACAAATGTTATAAAAGACAGATAAAATGTTGAGTGGAAAACAGGTTTGTTAAACTTCCACAGAAACCACACATATACACAAAACAACCTAGAAGGTAAGAATGGCTCAGCCTCTCAACGTGTTTGGTCCTATGACCCTGGACAGTTATAACTTACAAGCACCATTTAAGGGGCACTTACCATGAGGTAAGCAGTCCTGGTAGCATAGTGCATTCATTATGTGTTGGGCTGCTATCAGTTTCAATCAACCAGCTGCTCTACAAGAGAAAGATGAAGCAATCTCCTCCCAGAAATATTTACCGTCTCAGAAGCCATATGGAGGGTTATCATAGTCTACTTAATGCGGTGGGTTTGGTACCACAAGGTAGGAAAAAAGCTAAGCACTTTTTGCTTAATCTACACCACAAAAAGATGTGTTTATACCCAAGGAGGCAGACTACCTTAGGTAACTTCCATAAAATCATATAGTCAATAGATAGTAGCAGCCAGGATTTAAGCCTAGATCTATCTTATCCTAAACCCTTTTATTCCTTATTTATCTAACAGTTATGTGCCACTGTTTTCCCACCTGGGAAATGAAGTGCCCTGTGATAATTCCTCATCCCTAGCCTTGGTCTATTTGAGACCAAGAGACAGGTTTTGATGGTCAAGAAGTAGTGTCAGCTTCAACTGTTGTTGTTGTTGTTATGTGCCGTTGAGTCGCTTGCGACTCATAGCAACCCTATGTACAACAGCCCTAAACTCCGCTCTGTCCTGTG